GGAGTTGACGGTATCAAAATTTTGATACCGCCGAAGCCTATTGTATACAATCAAAATTTACGATCATTTATAATTTTCTTTATAACTTTATTGCACTCCAGAATCTGACAGTGATTATATATTGGCAATAAAACAGTCGGTCATGGTGTTATGCCTGGATACCATCAATAGCCTTGCATTTACAAAAACAGATTTAAAGTAATTCACAATTTCCTCCTGTAGAAAAGCATTATAAGAACAATGTTTAGTGGCTCACTGTATTACAAGTGTTTTTGAAAGACTAACCACTATTAATATAGCACACAACCAAGCACATGTGGCCAGAACACAAACGAATCGCAGGAATCGAATGAAGGAATAAGCGTTTCTCTAAACTAAGCAAAATGCTAGCAGACATCTATAGCTACAGTACACTGATGCTCTGCCTCTTTTCCCTTTTTTGGTTAGCCCTGGTCAGTGTGACGATGCACAAACAAAATGGCTTCATTTGCGCCCTTCAGAAACCTATGGGTGAAGTCACAGATACTACAGTACGTTCATATTTTTTACTATGGTTGTGACCCACAGATTGCATGTTTTTCCAGTATCATGCAGCCATAACATACTGTAAACAACAAACAAGAGCTCTACTAGTCCTCAGGGCTAATAACCTAAACCTCATCAGAAAAAAATGCAGTCCTAAACCCACCTGTAAGCTTTTTGGCTCTGGGAAATAAGGCATTGCGTGAATGTCAGGGCCCTCCAGAGCAGCCCCAGTGTGAGAGATCGTCTCTGCCCAGTCACGCTGCTGCAGATGAGGACGCAGCTCAGAATGAAGCCTGCACTGCAGAGGAACCTGAGCACTAAATCCTCTTCCCCTCAGAGAGGATAACACACTAAAGACACACGCACACTCACTGTCCTGCACGAGCAGGCCTCTGCTAACACTGAAGGCCCACAGGAAATCACTGAACACAAGCTGGTGTAGATGTAGACTGACCACTACAGGCATTCAAGCCCACCTCAGATACAGTAGATCACATTATATAGGAATGGGATATCATAAGGACTCTGTCTGGAGAGAGCTAGACAAGGTGGGATTGTTCTCTTATGAAACAAGCTAACAGGATTAATATCTACTGTAGTTCACATCTGCATGAAGCCAAACAGGTGGAGCACCAAGAGACTGAGGTGAGTCTGTCCTCTTGATTCAGAACAATAACTAATAACTACACTGGGACGTCCCTGGTGAGTCTATGAAAGGTTGATTTGAGTAAAACTGTGGGTGCTACTTTCACGGTCTTCTCTGATGGTTTAGAGGAAGAGTGATGAAACTAAACCAGATGTTACATAAAGAATTCCCATATTGCATTACCCATCATTCTCTGCAGAGCAGAGCAGAGCAGCTTCCCTGAAATGGTGCGACAGTTTGATTGAGCAAATGTTGAAACATCTCCAAAATGCCAGCAGTGTTTATAGCCAGCCTAATTTGTGGTCTGTTAATGTACGCTGCAAGTCAGGCTATGCATATTAATATACAAATCAAGATTTATGTGCAGTATGTGCTCCATTTCAATTTGACTCGAAGATGAAATGACAACTGCATAAATTTAACAAACTGCATTTCAAGAAGTAAACAATCCAATATATAAATATACTTTTTAGGTGGCACGTTAAAATGTTATTGTGCTACAATTTCAGTGAATATATAACATTGCATTGTATAATTAATTGATTAAAAATGAGTATTACAATATTGGCTTTGTTAGCCAGTTTATTGTTGCATTTCAATTCTGGCATCCCAAACTTGCTTACTACTAGAATTTAATTGTGGCAAATTTCCATTTTAAAGTTGGATTAGAAGCACTTCAAAATTGGCAATAAGGCTGTAAAGCGGCATTAAATAAACTATACTAAATTACAAAACCACATCCCAGTACCAAAGTATACGTTTCTCATGGCTGTCTCGATATATTTGTCATCTTGGAACAGAACACAAAAAAGCTGCGCAAAAAAAACCCTAAAAGCCTCACTTCTCTACCATTAAGGTGTCTTAATATTGCTCTGGGGAAGAATTAATGCTTTAATACAGCAATGGTAGTGGGCCTGAGATGGGTCATTAATGGCATAATTTAGTCTGGCTCATTCTCTCGTTTTGAGCAGATGTAGCTCAGCTGTCTGACGATGCGTATGATTATTAATCGGTTAATTAAGTGGTATTAAAGGGATCTACACAACTGTTCAGGGGTGGCAGATATGGTTAAAAGTTTGAAGCCTTTGACCTGCACAATCATGCATTTGAAAACAGATGTCCAAAAAGTGCCTTTTCAGGCACACAAATGCTTATGTTGTGCAAAATTATGGCCCGTTTCCACTGAATGGTACGGTTCGGTACGCTTTTATGGCTGTTTCCACTGTCAAAAAGGCATACCCAACCGTACCACTTCTTCGGCACTCTTTCTAAAGGGTTCCAAACACGAGAGTACCAAAATGTGGAGCTGAACACTATTGTTTTACAGAGATACGTCATTCACTTAAGCAACAAGCCAGAATAAAAGCAAAAGAGCCGCCATGTTTAAAATACACAGCCAACGAACCAAGAGATTACAGCGTGTATATATATATATATATATATATATATATATATATATATATATATATATATATATATATATATATATATACACACATACACACACACACAATAACGAGCCATGGTCAACCCGGGCTCAAACAAACCTTGTCATCGTCTTGATGAACAGCCACAAAGCCAAAAAGAAGAGCAGATTTACCCTGAGCCAGTCTGAAGCGCAAGCGGTTTTGTTTTCTTGCTTGCGCTCGCCGCGCGTCTATATATGAAATAACAAACTTCTTGAGCTGATGATAATAATGTGCGCTTGATTATTGACGTGCTTTTGAAACCCGACCCTGTCAGACACTGACAAACGCGAGAGAAGCGCGAAAAAAACAAAGGAGAAGCCGGAATAAAATGGAGCACATTATTATTTCAGCAAACGTGAACAAACTGCCATGTTTAAACTATTTTAGACCATTATGAACTCAGAATGATGGAGTGACTCTCTAACAGAGGCTACACGTGCTGCTGAAGATTACACACACAGATAAGAGGTTTGCTCTGACTGTGGGCTATATTGTATGTTGTTTTTGAACCTAAATAAGAACTAAATGTCTGCTGTGTGTAGTTCCTCTGTAGTTGGTTTCATATCGCACACTGTAAGGGTCTGCGTGTGTTCATATATGTTGCATTTATTTATGTTATATAATTGCAGACGTTACGCTATAGGCTATATTTACACTAGTCATTGATCTGCAGTTATAATCAAATCCTGCTCATAGTAAATATTTATACAGAAGTATTTGTGTATAAAGCATCCGTTTTGGGAGAAGTGCCTCTTATATGATATGCAAGCGACCCGTACAGCTTTACTGTAGACATTTTCAAGTGAAAATGACGTCTACTGAAACTTTGTCCTACACCACGCTCACCAAAAGAGTACCCTTGGTAGTGGAAACGAAAGCCTAATAAAGGTGTCCCATATGCAAAAAAAAAAGCGTGCTTAATCTGGAAATGACATGACCCTGTTCTTTCTTTACAACGATTTCCTTATGAAGGCACACAGCAGCCTTACTCAGGTGTCAAGATGCCTTCCTTAAAGGAACAGTTTGCCCAAAACCTGAAAATAAGCCCATTTCCTCATCATCCACTTGTTTCAAACCTTTCTTTCCTCTGTTGAGCATCAAATGTCTTTTAAGCAACTGCCATTGGCTTCAATTATATTGTTTGATCTTGATTTCCAACATCTTGTTTGGTGTTCAACTGAAGAAATATATTCATAAAAGTTAAGCACCTTAATGCAAGTGAGGAATGAGGAAATATATATATATATTTTTATGAGGGAGCGGTCTCTTTAATTCTGAATGATGCACAGGCCACACTGCAACTGAAATATAATCCACCTACTGTATGTTCCTCTGACAACAAATCTGGATATATAAAAAAGGTATGTGATTACAAGACAGACAAAATGTTCCTCCCTCGCAGAAACATGAAGCAGCATCATAATTATGTATCAATGCAGCAAACAAACACCTACACGAGGAGAGTCTGATTTAGGTAAAGTGGGCCTTATATTCACACATTCAGACTTTACTTGATAATATAATTTTAAAAAAGTATTATTTTCAAAATAAAATCTAAATGGGGAAATCAGATAAGCAGTCAATCACGATCAAACATTGTTCACAGTCAATTAAATAGTGCGAATGTGGTTTTTAGTCACACTTAAATACGATTTCACAACTAATATTCAAATTATCGTATAAAATGAACGAATGTGCAAACATAAACCCAACTTTACCTCAATGTCCACTCGTGTATGTGTTTGTTTGCTGCATTGACACATGAAAATTAAGATTACGATGGGGCTGCGCTTCAGATGCCCGCAGGGGCGACATTCTGCCCTTCATTCATTCACCGCAATAAATGTACACTAATAGTACATTAACACCTTATGATGACGATTATACATTAAAGCGAGTGTGAGACTCTGAGGATCAAGCGTCTTCATCGTCAGTGTTCACACAGGTGGTTTTGGCCGAGTCATACTGGAAGAGAGTGGCGGATGCGCAGCGGGTCACGTCCCGCCTCTGCGTCACATTCTCCGGCTGCATCACGCACTCCTGCGTGCCTCACAATTCCGTTAACACACACTCAAACGGTCACCGACCAAACGGTTTACGAATCAAGAAACGGTTAGTCAGCGGAAAACGAGGTCAAGTCTGTGATTTAAGCACGGAAATTGAGATGAAAACTAAGTAACGTAAATAACACTCACAAAACGCTACTCGTGATGAGGCTGACTGGAAAAACAAGGATGTGTGCTATTTTATTAGCGCAGCTACTCTCACGGAGGAAAACTACTGGCTTAAATAGTGACTAATGTAACAAACAGCTATTTATTAAAGCTATGATGTAGTTTTTGGCTGTGGAGGAGACTCACCTGCTCTTGCTGACGGTCGGCCTTGAATGACTGACTGATGCGCTCCGGTTCCCCAGCTCAAGGTGATCTGCCAAACCTACCGGCACTACTTCCGTCAAAGGCACGCGGATGGATACTTATGACGTAATACGCCATAAAAATGTCACTAATGCGGTTTTTATATTTATATATACGAATATTTAGCTTTAGTGTTCACAGCAGTGGTGTATTGTGGTTTCATCACTGACAACATGGTAACAAAATGCTCCGACGTGTTTATAAACACGCCAAACTTCCTGATGGAGGATTATGAAACGCGAAATGAGGGAAGTGAAACGAGCCAATCAGAAGGCGAGATACGGCACGGTGCACAAGCACGAGGAGATCACGTCACGTGACAGGAGGATGCTGCGCTCTTAAACTTTAAATAAGATACAGTGCTTGTTTACATTATTAAATACGTGTTTAAGTAATATAGATGAGGTATTAGACGTATAAATCTGTTCAGTTATACACATTTATAGTACACAGCGCGAAATGAATGCACTTCCGCGTTAATCCATCAGAGGAGACTCGCGCAGACGCACGTACATCTGTTAACTCTTTAATGCACACATATTTTAGCCTTTTTTCCCCTTATATGTCACGTATATAACGAGAAATGAACGCTAAACAAACTATTATCACTAAATGATCATGTTTATATTACAAATGTTCATACCTGACCGACTATAGTGTTAATATTAAGCATTTTGGACATGTACCATGGTAAAACCTATATCTTTTGGACATATTCTGTGTTGGAAACATGTTTTATGAACACAAAACACGATAATGCAAAGTTATTTGCACGTGTATTGCTCTGGATTTGTTATTTTGGCAATAGTAGGAAATCAGTAGCACTATATAGTCAGCTATTGCTGTTATTAAATATTATTTTATCATGTTCACATTATTATACAATGGCACTGGCAAGTGGAATTTAACATTCAAAACATGCATGTAAATATAAAATGATGTATTAAATATATTTGTGTATGTTGGAGACAGCCTCTGGTAAAATGTTCATTAATAGCGCCATCTGCTGCATAAACACTGCCAACAATATTAATAATAACATGTTTTCTCTGTCTTTAGCTTAGATTTCCAGCCATATATAAACCCAGCATTAATATGAATGTGACATAAAAGATCATCACAAGGTAAGTATAATGACATGCTGTAATTCACTATTTTTTTGTGCTTGTATATATATTTTTGGGGGGGGGGGTCATAAAAGGACATTCCTGCTAAAGCCACTATTGATGATTAAATAATTATTTCTGTGATGATGCCATTCAAAAACTGAGCATGCAGAATGAAGATGTGTTAAGTGTGAAATGCTTTTAACATACTAATGCTTCTCCTGTCAGTATTTCTCCACCTTTTGGTCACAAATGAAAATGTTTCATCTCCTAAAAGACTAATACATTTCTATGTGTGTGCTATTAATTCAATTATTTAGGTCAGCGTTCAGATGTTTGCACAACAATGCATAACTTAATCGTTGTGGAAAACAGCAAAACTTTACCCTCCAGAAAAATTTAGTTTTGTCTGCATGCTTTATGTTTTGAAGTATTGCAATAATATACACTCACCGGCCACTTTATTAGGTACACCTGACTAGTACCTGGTTGGAATCCTTTTGTTTTAAGAGCTGCTTTAATCCTTCATGGCAGAGATTCAACAAGCTACTGGAAATATTCCTCAGAGATTTTGCTCCATATTGACATGATAGCATCACACAGTTGCTGCAGATTTGTCAGCTGCAAATCCATGATGCCAATCTCCCGTTCCACCACATCCCAAAGCTGCTCTATTGGATTGAGCTCTGGTGACTGTGGAGGCCATTTGAGTACAGTGACCATTGTCATGTTTAAGAAACCAGTCTGAGATGATTCAGGCTTTATGACATGGTGTTATCCTGCTGGAAGTAGCCATCAGAAGATGGAGACACTGTGCTCATAAAGGGATGGACATGGTCAGCAGCAATACTCAGGTAGGCTGTGGCGTTGATGCTCAATTGGTACTAATGGACCCAAAGAAAATCTCCCCCACACCATTACACCACCACCACCAGCCTGAACCGCTGATACAAGGCAGGATGATCCATGCTTTCATGTTGTTGACGCCAAATTGTGAGCCGAGCATCTGAATGTGTCAGCAGAAATGGAGACTCATCAGAGCAGCAACGTTTCTCCAATCTTCTATTGTCCAGTTTTGGTGAGTCTGTGTGAATTGTAGCCTCAGTTTCCTGTTCTTAGCTGACAGGAGCGGCACCCGGTGTGCTCCTCTGCTGCTGTAGCCCATCCGCCTCAAGGTTGGACGTGTTGTGTGTTCAGAGATGCTCTTCTGCAGAGCTCGGTTGTAACGAGTGCTTATTTGAGTTACTGTTGCCTTTCTATCAGCTGGAACCAGTCTGGCCATTCTCCTCTGACCTCTGGCCTCATCAACAAGGCATTTGCGCCCACAGAACTGCCGCTCACTGGATATTTCCTCTTTGTCTGAGCATTATCTGTAACCCCTAGAGATGGTTGTGCGTGAAAATCCCAGCAGATCAGCAGTTTCTGAAATACTCAGAGCAGCACGTCTAGGAGCAACAACCATGCCACGTTCAAAGCCAATTAGATCCCCTTTCCCATTCTGATGCTCCTTTGACCTGCAGCAGATCGTCTTGACCATGTCTGCCATGTGATTGGCTGATTAGAATTTTGCTTTAACCAGCAGTTGGACAGGTGTACCTAATAAAATGGCCGGCGAGTGTTTATATAAATATTAAATGTTCCAAAATGTTTTTAAAAATGTTTATATAAATACATTTTCATCCCATATTTTTGGCCAAATTTAAAATATATATTAAAAACAAATATACATTTATATTTTTATTCTGTTTTATCAAAGTCAAAATTTTTGCCCTTTTTAATTCATTTTTTACAGATATTTCCCAAGTGCTGCGTATGTGTGCGTGTGGACAGCATTTGTGTGTTTGTATATACAGATGTGTATGTGTGTGTGTGTGTGTGTGTGTGTGTACATGTTTGTGTTTGTGTTTTTGTGTTCAGGTGATAATGAATGTGTGTGTGTGTATCTGTGTGTATGTGTGTACATGTTTGTGTGTGCATTTGTGTGTGTGTACTGCATGTGTGTGTATATGTGTGTGTGCACAAGTGAAGGTGTTTTCAGGTGATGGTGTGTGCGTGTGTGATTGTGTTTGTGTGTGCATGTGTGTGTGTGAGTGTATATATGTTCATATGTATTTATGTGTGTGTATAGTGTTTGTGTGTGTGCGCGTGCATGCGAGCAGGTGAAGGTATTTGCAGGTGATGGTGTGTGTGTGTGTGATTGATTTTGTGTGTGTGTGTGTGTGTATATGTGTATATGTATTCATTTGTGTGTGTGTGTGTGCGTGCAGGTGATGGTGTGTGCGTGGGTAATTGTGAGTTTGTGTGTATATTTGTGTATATGTATTTATGTGTGTGTATAGTGTGTGTGTTTGTGTGTGTGTGTGTGTGTGTGTGTGTGCGCGTGTGGATGCATGCAGGTGAAGGTATTTGCAGATGATTGTGTGTGTGTGTGTGTGTGTGTGTGTGCGCATTTGTGCGTGTGTATGTATGTATGTATGTGTGTGCATGCAGGTGAGGGTATTTGCAGGTGATGGTGTGTGTGAGTGTGCAGGTAATAGTGTGTAAACTGACCTGCTCTCCACCACAGCTCCTCCGCTGCTGCTGCTTCCGCTGCCCATAATGACCCCAGCAGCTCACCTGAGGCCGATCCCACCTGTCCAGCTCTGCTCACTGACACTGACCGTCCGTCACTCACCTGCTGTGTGTCCTTGTGTCTCTGACCCCGCCTCCTCAGGTAAGTGACAAACCCGTCAGCCAATCAGAGCGAGCGCTGAGCTGTAAGCCTCTGCATGCATGAACAGCTGTCAAATCCAGCCTAAATCCCATTGATGGCTCTGAGTGTTACAACAATGCCCTCAACATTGTGTTCAGATGTGCTCAGATGAACAGTTCTGCCATCCAAAATAATCATCTTAATATTGACAAATAATAATAGTTTTAATAATTATAAATAATACATTCAAAATAAAGTCAGTTTTGGTAAAAAAAAAAAGTAGGTCACACTTTACAATATTGGGCCCTTTCATCTTACACCCGGTGTAATAAGGCGTGTTTGGCGTGATTTGTTGCTATTTTCAGACCAGCACAACCCTAATTTTCACGTTTTGCTCCACGTTGTTTAAATACAGTAGCTAATCCATTTGCGCCACCTTGTGGACTCATGGGTGTGCTGGTCTATAGAGGAGGTGTGTTAAGGCACATTGTTGGCTCGTTGCTATTTTAAGGAACTGAAATAGACTGCACTGTTGACCAACTAAAAGCTGCTCTAAAGTCCAGCAGAGCACATTAGTTATGCACCTATGCAGGTCCAAACACTTACACACTGCTGAATACACACAGTATAAGCAGCAACACACAAATATCTTTATAGATGAAAACAATTAAAGGATTAAAATGATCCAGAAAGGATGATATTCTACATTAAAAACCACTGCCTTCATGCCTTCTTCACCTCGGGGGGCTTTTTCAGTTTATTCATGACGATCTGCATCTGTATAATGTGATTATTATGATGAGTATTATTTATTATATGCAGATTTATATTTGTTTTATTAAAAAGCAAGCTTAGATTTGTCCAGCTGGGGGGTTTTTGGAGACGTCTGCATCACCATATGGGGCATAAGAACAGGACGTGTGTTTGGATATAGCTCAGTTTTCTGACCACACTTCATTATTATTGTTCTTTTTTTTTCCTTTGGAGATTAGAACTGAATTTAGAAATAATTTTGACACCAATCTTTGCGCTTAACAAAGGAAATTTAATATGTGGGCTAATGGATGTGTTCAGGGGAGAGAGTTTCCATCATTTCCTCACTCCACCAAAGTAAAGGAGTAAAGATAAAGTAAAGAGGCTGAATGGAGGAGGCTCGTTCTTTATCCTCGCGCTGCAGA